ACTTTGTTGTCAAGAAAAATTCGCATTGGGGGTAGAGTAAGAGGGGGGTGAATTTTTTATTCTTTTTTTTTTTTTTTCAATGACAATCGAGTCTCGGCTGCCATAACTGACACGGGCTTGGGTACCACTGCGCCATGGAAACGGTAGCCTATTTTTATCTAAGATTACTGAACTAGCAATTTAGACATCAAATGCAAAGTTAATTGGAATTATTTAAAAAAAAAAACTAAAACAACTAAATAGGTTACATTCATTTGTCATACCAACAGTTGATCTTAAATTCTTGACTGTGACTCTGAATATAAACACATCAAAACAACAGTCATAAAAGGTATCGTGATTAAACGTACTATGATTCACAGTCACTGTGCACCCTATTATAATCAAAGAATCTACTTTATCAGAGACTTATTGAACAGATGCCAATCACTGACAAGTTAATACTGTCAAAGACGTGATGTAACATAGTACCGATGCCTCTACTCAATCTAAGTCAAGAGATGTTAGGCATCTTACTGCTTCTTGGTTTAACGGGACCAATTTAAACTGGCTGGATTTTTTGTTGACCAGGAAGCATTTTTTTTTTTCTTTTTAAGATTACTGTCCGAGGTCCAGAATGTAGCTGAAATATTACTAATGGCTAACCAAAAAGTATCACAAACTAAATTAAGAAAGTAACAAGACATTCAACAAGTTCATCCAAACGTCAGGAGATTCACATTAAAAGAATAAATAAATAAATAAGATAAGTTCATTTAAAAGTTGGAGGCAATGGTTACAACCAATGTTTTCAGATCCTAATCATAACGCACGAAAATTATAGGTAAGGTTGGCAATCCATCTTGATTTCCGAAAGTCTACCTAAAATGCCAACTATCTAACACCCACTGCTAATACACCTATAATCACAGGTGTTTACCCACCACACTGAAGACGTGGCATCATAGGACCTGCGATATCTAAGGTTCTCGAGAAAATAGCATGACACTAATTAAAAGACAAAAAAAAAAGAAAAAAAAATCCTCTATATGAAACACAACATACCTTCAGAAGTAAGCTATCCAAATGAACAAGATTGTGACAAATGAAATATATAGTAGCATACATGATAATCACATAAACTTGTGGTATGTGATTTATCGAAAGCCTGTGACAGTACCGGCTACGTAATCTTTCTTAATTAACAAAGAAATCGAGAAACTGACGACTATTGAACAAGAGTTTAGATAGCCAGAAACCTTGAAAATTGTTCAAAACCAGTTATTATTGGTGTTCCGCAAGGCTCTGCACTAGGTCCTATCCCTTTACAGCATTCATTAGTAATCTATCGACAATTACAAAAAAATATATTTTAAAAATGCAACTTTGTCAATATACCGATGGCTCACAGTTTTTTCACACTTCCCTTGCAAACAACTTGTCTGATATACAAACCACAAACAGCGTTAAAAAAATAATAATAAAATAAAGAAAAAAAAAATCTAGAGATAAATGTAGGCAGAGAGAAGACATTTGAGACTCATTGACTCATCATCTATATGAAGGCAACGAGTACATTAATATCCATACACCAGATAAAGAATAAAACATTTAGACACAAGAAATGTTGTCGAACAAACCCTGGCGCTCAGCTAAACCAAATGATTAAACATATTAGGTTCTCCAGGAAAATTCATGCAGAAAGAACAAAAATAAAGTTAATTTCAAATTGAACCATACTCTTACTTTCTGTAACCAATGGGACTATATATATACATACATACACACACACACACACACACACACATATATATATATATATATATATATACATATATATATATATATATATATATATATATATATATATATATATTATATATATATATATATATATATATATAATATATATATATATATATATATATATATATATATATATATATATATATATATATATATATATATCAGATAGAAATTTAGTCTTAAAAACGGAAAACAAGAACATCTTAGTTTTATAAATTCTATAGAAACCCAGACAAACTTCAGAAACAAATTCAAGTGAAAGCAATTTCGAAAAACAATAGCTAATATATATGCAAGTCTTAAGCTGTACAATAAATGAAATACATTATTTTCTTGACGATTAAGGTACCT